TTCTGCTTTGTCTATTCAGCCTTTCAGGGCAGGCACTGCCTCTTGGTGTTCTAGCGACAGTGTATGTACCGGGGCATTGAGTCAAACAGCAGGGATATGCTGGGATATGGCATGCGGATGCGACGTTTGGCAATGGGAGGAAAAGGTCTGGAGAAGAGTAAAGAGGGAGGGGGTAACACTTCTTCCTTAGAGCCTTCAAGCTCCAGAAGATAAATAATTTAGACCAGAGTTTTTAGCAGACAGAATAAGACCATGCTGCTACTCTCCATAATCTGATCCTCCAAGTTTCTTTTAATCATCCTAGGAAAAAATATGCAGATTCAGGTTTTAGCAGGACTTCGAAGTACTTGTCAAACCAAGTCAATGCTTGCATTAAAAAACGTTCTTTATAGAAACTAATTTCTGAGACAGATTTTGTGCAGAGTGCTGTTTCTGCAAAAGGTCTGGCTCATCTCTGGCCCACATCAGACAAGATATTGGAGAAATAACATGGTTATAGTATGAAGAAGTAAGTCTAAAGAGAGACGTAAATCACCAATTAAGATTTCAAACTTTAAAATGAACCGAAACCCAAGTTAGCTACTGGCAATCTCCTTTATAAACGCTCACCAGCATGTGGTGATATCTCCTTTTCTTGCTATCTGTAAGTAATGGCATAAATGAGCTATAAACTGTGACTCCTTGTTCTCTTTTCACGCTCTCTGGCCTTGTTGTACGCACCGGGGTGAGATTTCTTACCGAGACGTCAATGCTCAAAAAAGTCCCAGTAAGGAAGCTCCTCTACCACACTTTTACCAACATAATTTGTTTCATTTCTCAGCGGTTCCCCATCAGAGCGAGGTGCAGGTTTAGCTGTACAGCTGCATCTGATGTGCAAGTGCTTATTTGATGTTACGTGCTAGCAAGCTGTAATAATACCCTACCTCCTGCTATCGGTCTGCACTTAGCCTCGTTCAGGAGACCAACCTTTGAACTCTTGTTGGATTTTTATCTGTACAACCATTTCAGGTAGGGCTGTTCTTAAAGTCCAAGTAATAGCCCAGTGTATAGGCCTGTAAGGGTTTTTTAATCCTGCTACTGGTAATTCCTCGTGCTGTTTGGGAATGAATTTTTATATAATTTTATATAATTACTTTGTCATTTATATAGGTTTTATAGATATAATTTATCTATTTTTATATCGTTATTTGTATTTTTATATTAGTTAAAAATGAGTATATATTAATGTTACACAAATTGTTTTAGCTCTATAAAGAGTACCCATGATAGGGAAGGCTATGCTGTGTTAAGTAGTGTCAGTGTCTGATCTGAAGGGCGAGGTGAGATCTTTTAATTGAGAAACTTGAGTTTGAATAAAGTATCAATTAATGAAAAAGAACAGCATAGCCTTTAAAGTTTTCTCCCTATTTCTAGACAAACTTCAAAATGAAGAAAATGCTTGGTCTGGTTTCCAGGGCAAAGAGAAGCTGGGCTCATTGGCTAGCTGAAGGGATTTGCTGTAACCCTGCTTTCTGTGTAGCAGAGACACTGGGAAGTGCAGTGCAGCTTAAAACACTCTTTAAGCTGTTCTGGTTTGCACTGGAAGACGGGCTGAAACAATCACTGGGCACAAGAAAGGTCTTACCTTTGCTGCCCTGCATCCCGAGGGTGGTATGCACATCAGCACTCCCTTCCCAGGCACAGCAATGAAGAAGCAGCAACAGTATGCCTGTCTTGCATAATTTCAGTTCTTCTTTTTTTCCTCTGTATTTCTAGCTCCCACTTCTTTTTCTCCTCAGTTTGTTTCTTGTAACAGTCCTTTGCTGACTTTTTTCTTGCTGGGCTTTCAGTTTCCCTTGCAGGTTCCTTAAAGCAGTTGGCACAAATGTGTCGAGAAGACACAAAGCTCCTGCTGACCTTGAATATCTCAAGGCAGCGACTAGCAAGAGAAGGGAACTTGTGTCCTTTTCCCTGGCCTCCAAACTGCCTCAGACATGTCTGGAAAACAGGGACTCACCTTGGCATGACCTTGTGAGCAAGAGGTCTCGGTGCAGTGCTGGGCCCTTGATAGGACAGGGCTTCTGCTGTAGCCCAGGAGGCCATTGGAAGACAACAAAGTCGCTTGTACCTTGGATGCTATTGGGAAAAATTCTCATCCAAGCCTAGTGAGATGTTTTGCCGCATGAAGTATAGATTTCTAAACATTCAACTGCAGCACACTGCTAGCAGAAAACTGAGCAAGCTTCCCTGGCATGCACTGGGAAGAAAATGTCAGAGAGGCTGTTGCCATGTGTTTAAGACAGGCTGTTGGAGGCTTGGCATGGTGGTGTGTCAATAGCTTAACTTGAGCACTAGCAGGAAATGACATTTTGGCTCACTCATGGAGTGACTTAACGGAGCAGCTGCCTGAGAGAGAAACAAGTAATCTTTCCTTTCTCTACCAATGGATGTGCTGGGTTTTTTTTCCCCCATTTTTCCCCCTTCTCCCTATCACACTATTCCCATTCTCATTTCTTTAGTAACTATCCTAAAGTGAAAATGGAAGCCAGTGATATCCCAGAGCCGCACAGATGCATTTAGCAGTGTGAGGTTAGAGGAACTGTTGTGTTGGACCTATGATAAGACACTCACAGGTTCCTTCCTCCTCATTCCTTTCCGTTCCTCCTCTCCTTCAGCTTCTCCTTTTCTTTCTTCACCCCCTTCCCAATACTGAACTAAGAGTACTTGTAAGGTATGGGTTTGGAGTCAGACTAATTTCTGATGCTCATACATTTGGTAAGGAGAATTTTGGGGTTTTAGAAGTTCCTTTTTTTCCTTCTGTTGTCTCAAGAACACCACCAAAAACCAATTTAGTGTGGTGGAAAATAGGTGGCTTATCTAAGTTCTGTTATATTGGTTGCTTTCTGCAGCTAATGGCAAAACAACACAGTGCCATACTCCCCCCCTTTTTTTTTTAATTTAAAAGGTTACAAATGTGAAACTTAACCAAAATGAAGTTAAAATCTTCCAATAAAATTAGTATTAAAAACAAGGTGACAAATCAACTGAGCTTTATTTCTTTCCATAACTTCCTGGGACAGGGAAATCTATTTTGACTAATTAGTCACTTCCAACTCTTTTATTAACCCCCTTTAAGTGTGTCAGTTTTAACACTGCCTATATCCAGAACAGAAGTGGTATCTTGTGTACCTGAGTAGTGAAATGAGATGCGTGTGAGGTCAGGTGTCTGTTCCAAATAGAGGTGTTCAGAAGTTTAAAGCCAGACTTTTGCTAAAGGCAAGCCAGTATCCTCCTCCCAGATGATGATGTGGTGCTACACACATACATACATACATAACCTATTTCACCGTCATACTGAGGTAAAATAAAAGTTTTAGGGTGGTGAAAGAAAGTAAAGTAAAAGAAAGTTTTAGGGTGGTGAGTAACAGATGGATCATAACACAACAACTTGTAGTTTTCTGAAGTTTGGAGGAAGCAGCTCATACCTCCAGTCCCCTGCGCAGTAAAGACAGATGATCTGCAATTAAGCTGCAGCCTGGCAATCTCCTTGCTCCTGAGCCTTGACTCCCAGCACCTGTGAAGAAACAGGATGCCCATGTCACTTCATACACCGTTGCTATGCCTGGAGACCCTTGTAGAATAAGGCTGCGCTAGAAAGCTGCCTCCTACAGAACATCTGCTCCATTGTGAATTAGGAGGGACGGCTTGCTCTTGTCTCAAGGGCAAAAGTTAAAAATATATGGGGGGAGCAACGCACTCTGTTCCCACTGACTTTTCTTTGGACTCAGGGGGTGTGTGGTGTGTGTTTAACTCCCAAATGTGAGTCTCCATGCTGTTGGATATGTATCAGCAATAAATAGCATTACATTCAAAGCAGCACATAGCTGAATGGTATTCCAGGCAGGAAGAAATCAGCTTAAATTTGCTTCTCTTGATCTGAGGGCATAGTGTGTGTGAATTTGGTACTTGTTTAAGAGTGGGCAGTGGGGACAGAAGCCTCCTATTTTAGCTTCTCAGCAACAGAGACCCCGGCAACATGTTCTGGGTATGTGCATAGTTTTGTTTGACTTTGCGTGGGTCATGGAACAGCGGCATTGCAGAGAGACCACTGCCAGTGGTCAGGGCTGCCTGCTCAGACATCTAAATACTCACCAGCTCTGCAGAAGAGACCTTTTTGGGTCACTGTGTCACAGCTGATCACTCCCGTTTCTTCCTCTTCTTGCTCTGGCTTCAGGGAGGCTGGGTGGCAAGCTTCCGCGCTGTGGCTTGATGAGCTACAATGCATAGGGAAACAGGAAGATGGCAAAATGCATGTGCGTGTGGTAGGACTGGTATGTTTAGTGGTTGGACAAGAACAAGTTACACTAAGTAAGTGCCACCACACCATCCATGGCACGCAGTCAAACACGTGAGATCCTCTCAGGCACCCTAAAGTGAAAAGACAGCTGAGAACATTATGATAGGTAAATATTGTATTTTTTCCTAATGTTTGGGCTAGTTCTTGTTTGCTTTCCTACCTAGAGCACTCAGGGCCTGAATTTGTCAAAGCTTCCTCTAAAAGCACAATTCTCATGTATTTGGATGCTTGGTCATTTGAGCCACAGTATAGGCTTTTCCCTTGCAGTGCTTTGATGAATCATTTTTCTTTCCATCCCAATAATCAGATATTATTGTTATCCTCTTTTCCTGCACTGCACCCCGACCATTGAATACTCTTTGAATTTCCTCATCTTTCTTGTCTATGCCACCCAATGCAGCTAAGAGCAATGTATCAGATCTGCTGTTCCTGTTCTCCAATGGCCTTAATTGCCACCTGAGGTATTTCTCAGGAACCGAATTCTCTTTCTAGAAAACAGTGCTTCTCTGGCTCCTGGGTACTGCAATGTTCTCCCCATTGCTCAGGTTTATAAGGTGTTTGGTGAAAGGTTCTAAAGAAATGTCAAGTACAAAGTTGGTATTCATGAAAAATAGGCTGCTCTCTAAGCCATTAAAACTAAGAATATGTTCTTGCAGGAACCAAGATGCCTTCACCAAATGATGTCAGAATGGAAGAAATACCACTGGAAGATGATGAACAAGACAGCATCGAATACAAGATCCTAATGGCCTACGCCCAGCGGCGGTTATCTGTCAGTAAATATGAGAAACTTCTGAAAAATGAGGGTAACGTGCAGAAATTACCCTTAATTGTGCTTCAAGGACCAAGGAAGACTGACCATCAAAGGAGTACAGATGGACCAAACCGAAGAATTGTTCCTCAGGGTGGCACGATGCAACAGCAAAGCAAAAAACAATTGAAAGTAAAATACTTGCCAGGATATTGTCTACCTTTAGTCTGCAGCACAGCAAAGGAGGAACAGCCCCCACCACTGTTAGCACCCGGAGATTGCATGGCACAATTCTTAGTTGCTGAGAATCAATCTGATAGCCTTCGAGAAGAGAGTTCTCAGCATCAGACAAGTATGTCTTAGTTCTTTCCTTTTGCTGTTCGTGTTTAAATCTCTCTGTAAATAGCTTAAATGACTGGTGGCCTGTGAAAAGGCAGGAGGAGGAAGGTGGTTTCTTTAAATTTTTGATCATCTCTTACTCTAGCTCTATTGATTTCCAATTAGGAAGGCAGGTTGCCAGATCTTCAGTAGTTCTTGCACACACAAGATTCATGCTTGTGACTGGCTTTTCTGTTTTCCATTGTCTGATGGTAAGTATTGTATAACTGTACAGACTGTTTTTTCTGAGCATTGGCTTTTACTTTTTCATACCTAGTTAGAAAGAAAACATACAATGCTGGTCAGACTGAAGACCTCCACACTAAAATTAAGGAAGGGAAGTTCTTTGAAGGCCTGTTCGAGGAGCTTTATCATGTGATATCTATTCCACACTAGACCAAAGTGCTAGCCTCTGCTTGAAAGTGTAGTGCCAAGCAGTTGGCAGTGACCGGCCTCAGGGACAGAGCAGACCGTGTCTCTGGGCCATCTCTTATAGCCCCACTGCGTCTCTTAAATGCAAACAGTCTTCCAGCGTTATCCACGTCTCTTTTACACGTTGCTGTTATATTAAATCTGAACCTGTCCTTGCATGTGTTGGAAGAAGAGGCAGTAGGTGGCTGTAATCCGTCTGACATCCAAGAATCCCATCCACGTAAACATGTCGTACCGCAGCCCCCAAAGCCAGCCCCACATCAGGTGCTGCACTGCAGGCAGTCAGGTTTTACCTTTTCTACTCCCGAAAACAACTAATCCTTTAACTTCCCATACAAGACACAGAGGAGGATGAGGTATCCCATTAAGTTGCCATACACAGTATATGATAGGATGCCATATTTTTTTCATATACATAACGTTAGGGTTGTTTGTTTACTTTGTCCCAGCTTGGATACTGTTGGTGTCGCAGCAGTTGCTCTCCCCTTTCACCGCACTTAAAGATATTTCTAAACATTATCCATCACTGACTTCTTCAGCCTAATGCCCCATCACTGATCAGTTTGACTGTCCTGGGCCAGCTCCTATCCACCAAGCCCGTAATTCTCCCTCCTGCCAAATCGAGCTGCATCTCTCAAGGAAAGGTCCCTACCTCAGCCCAGTGCCTTTTGCTAGGGGGAAATAACTAAAGCTTTCTGTTGTTTGATTTCCAGGGACATACGTCTGCATCCACATATCCATTTTTATATCCATTTGCCAAGTAAAGTGCTCAAGATTTTGGGTGCGATCACTTGATGGCCCTGCCAATACACTGCCATGTTTCCCACGGTGTGGGTGGCAGCATGGCCTCAAGGTACAACCTCCTGGTGCTGAATGTTAACCTCCCTGGGATCCTTCTTGGCTTCAAATCTGGGCTTTACCTGCCCTTCAGCAGATTGCTGGACCAATTCCTAAAACATTATTATTATCGCTGATTGTCATTTATGCTGCTAGCAGCTGCACTGCAAGCTTGCCCCGTTTTTGCAGCAAATTGGAGTGCTTTTGGGGATTACTCGTCTAAATTGAAGGCCTGTCCACTTGCCTAATCTCAGGTTTCCAAAGTCATGAACAGCTCAATCCCCTTCCTAGAAGTTTAGGAGCTCCCTGACAAGCTCTGCAGGCAGACAAGGGGATGGAAATGTCTTGTGGTTGATTCACCAGCCTTGAAACACAGTTATTGTTGGCTGCATTAACTCCTGCTGCCCTCACTATAAACTCTGCTTGTGAATTTGGGACGTGTTATGGGTCAGGCGGCTGCTGAGCTTGTCTCAATGTCTGCTGGTCACACAGGGGCTGCCACTTGATGGAGTTTTGCATCCCAAAGTCTGTGAGGTGAATTGTCAGGAAGAACACCTTTTAGATGAAATACGTCTTGCAATAGTTGCTCCTGCTGTCTTTGCTATAGCAGCATCCCCATTGGAGTTCCCTCACCAAGGGACACCTTCAGCCAGTGAGGGTCCTGAACAGGCTCATTACACAAGGTGGATAAAGCCAGTCTGGTTGCTGAGTTCTCCCAATTTTCACGTCTGCTTAACACAATGTCAAGGACACAAGGAACTTTCGTGCCAGAGGTGCCTCTGAAGTGAAGTCTGCTTCTCCTTTGCTCGGGATTAGCCTGTGAGAACAAGGAAAGAGCATTCAAATACACCACCTTTTCCAAATCTGGACCTACAGATAAACTAATCGTAGGTGATACCACTCTCACAGTAAGGTCTAAGATTCACAGTCCTATAGAGCAGTACTCTCACGTTTCTTAATACACAGCGTGCTTCTGGCTTGCGAGGATGTACGCTGGTGAGCAACACCCACACTTGCTTCTGCGTGGCTTCTGCATAGTCAGCTGCTGCTCAGATACTAAGGAGGGGTTGTACTGCGTTACTTGTCTCTCTAAATTATCACCAGCTGATCTCAGGCAATAGCAAAGCCCCAGTATGGGAAAACGTATCTCTTGGTATCCTCTGGGCGCTTTCCACCTCAGGGGGCATGTAAACTAGTAAATCGTTGAATTATTTCTTGGAAAGATTAATTGCCTTCTTTATTTCCCATCATCCTTCCCAATCAGGTGACACAGCAGATGTCAGCCACATTGCAGACAAACTTGCCAAGCTTGTTACTTCCAAATCCAAGAAATCTCCTTCAGATGTGTCGTTCAAGATATTGTCTGAGGCTTCATCTCGGGAACAAGATGACAGCGATTCTACTCATGGAAGTGAGGGTGAGGAACATGGTAAGGGTGAAGAATTTTATGGTCATGGGCAGTATAACAGGTTGGGATTGCTCACTGAGGCATTTTCTCTAGACGTGGTGAAGCACTCAGGACTTCTGCAGTAAGACACTGTGAAGGAGGAAGCTTGCTCTGCTGGTTCTTGCTCAGTTGCTCATGTTTCAGGAGCTTCTCTTGCAGTCCTCTAACAAGTCCTGCCCACTTCTGCAATAAAAGGGAGCATCCTTAAAAATCCGAGGAGGTGTGACATGAGAAAAGGAGGATAAAGGTAAAGGGATGTAAGGTGATAGAGCAGTGGTAGGAGTGGCAGGGCTGGGAACAGAATAATGCACTGGGGCTCTAAGGCCAAACACCAGTCCTTGGGGCAACAATGTCTTGGTAAATCCCTCTTCGGTGATGGTACAACACTGATCTCTGTTAGAAGACTGAACTGCTTGTTTTCCATGATATCTGCAGAGTTTCAATGCAAACTTTCTAGGGATTTCTAGTTACAAGAGGGATCCTGCCATACTTGCATTTTCTTTAATCCAGCAAACCCAGAGTTTGTCCTAATGAGTTGCAGAAGGTGTAATCGGTAACTATGAGGGGATTTTTTTTCTTTTCCTAATTTTAAGTCCACTTTCTTGGGCTTCCACTAGCTGCTTTTGTTCTGGCTTGTTACCAGACACACCTCAAAGCCCAAAGTGCTGGCAGTGGGGTGTTAAAGCCCTTGCACTTCCCCAGATTCTTAACTGGAGCAAAACATTGACCAGATGGAGAAATAGCCTTGCTTACTCCATGCAGACTAGAACAATGAGCTTCTGCTTAAAGCCTGGATACACAACTCTGAATTTGCCACAAAATAGCAGCTCTTTTCGTGATTAAGTGACACAAAAGCTTTTGCCATAGTTTGCTATCTGGATCCTACTAGAAGGCTGCGATATTTATGTTACTCTTTTCTTTAACAGATGAAGAAAAGATAATACAAACAATAGTTTCACTGTTACGACAAGAAGGGGACCAACTAGAAGAAAAGGTAACTCCCTCTGTTTTCAGTAGCTACACAGGCTAGAGTGAGAGAGAAATTACACTTTTCTTGGGAGTGAAGGCTTTGTAACCTGTCTCTATCCTGAATTTCTCTTTCCACATCTAAGGCTTTCTGAAACCTTCTCCATTCATCCTGAAATCTTTCTTAAGACCAGAGGACTAGCAGAGATCTCTGCTGAGGTGGGGGAGGAAGGCAACAAAAATGTGCATTTCAAAGAGGAGTCACTTGCCTCATTGCCGTTGAGTTTCATGGTACCTTGAGCGCTTGACTGACTCTGAGAAACTCTTGTGTTCACGTTGAGTTTGGCATACAAGTTGTTACCAGTGGAGGGAGAGAAACCGCACAGCTTTGAGAGTTGCTGTAGGGAAATAAACCTTCTGAGTGCATTTTGAAAGCCCTGCCCAAAAGCTATCGAAGAACCCCCACGAGTCCATTAGTTGGAGTGAATGTTTTTCTCTATTAAAAATATAGGTACTTGTTCCCTTTACTCCCTTCTTTAGCTGCCCCCTGCTTATAAAGGTGTACTCCCACATGGAGGACATGCTCAGCTCCAGCAGCACAGAGGTACCTAGATACAGTAAGAAGCATCACAAAGACCGTGACTGAGCAAATGGAACTTAGCCTGGCAGCTGTTGCCAGCAATTCTCATAACTTTGCTTTTGCTGTCATCTTCCCACTGCTCCTGTATTCCCATGTTTCCTCACTTGCAGGTCTCAATATCAGCGTCACACTTGTTTTGCTTTCTCTTTCTCTGCTTCTCATTCAAATGCAAAAAACCTGAAGATATTTCAGGAAAAAACATAAAGCCGCCTCCAGAGCCTGAAGAAGAAGCAGCTTTGCAGTGAAGTGTGGGGTTTGTGTGTCATCTCTTGCATTCACTACCACGATTAGACTATATTGCATGTACTATCTAGAGATGTTCTCCTTTCCCAATGAGATGGGGAAAGCAATTCCAACAAAAGTGGCTCAATTTAACCAATCCTTACTTTTATTTTCAGATCAAAGAGGACAGGGTTTTCTATCAGCATTTTCGAGACATGCTGTCCTACCCCTTCTTCAAGAGGATCACTGATTTGTTCCTGGAGGATGTCTCAGCGGATTCAACAAGTGAGCCGGGAGGCCAAGTACAATGCACAAAAGTCGCCTTTTCAATGGAAGTTGCCACCAGACTTACTGCTGTGGACAACCATCCTATGAACCTAGTCTTGGGCTTTGGATTAAAGTACCTCAGAGATCACTTCAAGCCATGGATTCAGGAGCAGGGTGGCTGGGTATGTGCTTTGCCTCCCTTGACTCGTGCATAGCCTAAAGCACCTCGAAGCAGCACACTTTCACAGAACTAACATGGGCCAGATGCAAATCAAACCAAACTGTGTATTCTTTAACACAGCGTGTACTTCAGCTGTGGAATTAGTTGCTACAAGACATCTTCTATGCTGCAAGTTTTTTATTTACGTAGGTCCAAAAATCAATAGGAGACATTCATGAAAGGTTGAAAACACAGTTCCTGGCACAGGCAGTCTCTTCACCACAAATAGCTGAAGGCTGGGAGAAACACCAGGAAACGCTTGCCATAATCCTATGCTTGTCCCTAGAAGCCTGCTGTTGGCAGGTTCTGGGAACAGCATAGTAGTTCTGAAGTTCATGCAGTCTGCCCTTATGGTGTGGGATGTTCCCACTTCCCCTGTACAGAAAGGCATCTGTTCATGGTCATACCTCTCTTTCAAAGTCAGTTGTGCAAGGTGCCCTTTTGCCAGCGATGGTGCTGAGCTGCTTCACTTCGTAGCTCGTTGACCTGGATTTGCTGGGAGGCACTTGCAATGGAGATCCTAGTCCTTTTGTGCTTCACAAAATGAATGGAAACATTCAGCAGCTGTACAGCCTGTGTCCATCGGAACAGATAGCATGTGAAGTCAGGAAATCCTGTTGGCAAACCTACTGGCAGAGTTGAAATTAGGATGAGGGTCCACATTGCTTTTGTAATTGTAATTTCCTTTCTATGTTACAGGAGAAGGCTTTGGCTTCACTGTATCAGGAGGAAGTAGAATAATCATGACTGAATTAATTCTTCAGAGTGCAGGAGCCTTCAATTAAGGAATACGCAGAATCTTACCACAATCCAATGCCAGAATGATTAGTGGCTCTGTAGTTTTATTTTTCCCATTGAAGGTTGGAGTGTTGCATGACTGACTCCAATGGGTCCAATTGTACTTTCTTAAAGTTGGCATCAATGTAGAAGCATTCTTCAGTGGATATGAAGGCACTTCCAACTGCCCTGGAGCATTCATACGCACAGATATGATTTCAGGTACCTTTCTGACTAGAGATGCTTGCCACTCCTTTTATGGATGGATGCTAAAGTGTGAACAGGAGGAAGATATCAAACTATGCAATCACGACCCACTGGACTGTGATCAACCGTGTGAGACAAGTGCTGCCAGCTTTGTGTGGTTCATAGTGGTACCATCCATTATCGATTCCACAATCCTTTGTTAGAAGGTATACCTACGCACTGCTACCAGTTTCCTCTCTCTCCCCCTCTTTCTCTGATTGCATACTCCAAAGTACTGATGCCATTTTGTACTTCTGAAAAGGACTGAGTAAGGTTAATGAGGGCTTTTTACTCCAGTGCCTTCCCCATACCTCCAAGAAAATAGACTTGATCTGCCTACAGATGCTTTTAATTTGAACTCTTTTGTTTTAAACCCCTTCAAAGCATAGCGCAATAGATGTTGACTTTTACAGCACTATTTTGTCCATTAATGTGGAAGATACAAACATTGTGAGGGCTTTGTAGTCCAAGAAATTTAAAACTTATCCTACTGCGTCAGTTTTCCTCTTTATTCAAAAGGAGTTTGATGCTATGTGTAATCTCAAGGATTTCTCCGTAAACCGAACTGGCCCTTCAGCCATGGAAAACAAGGGATCTGATTAGAGTTCTTGACTCGGTATGTATGGCAGTGGAAGGAATAACAGTGCATCATTTAGAGTAGAGCCAGATGCCAGTGGAACTATTCATGATTTTGAGGCTTGGTTTGTGGCCCATTTACATGATTTGGGATTTCTGTCCCCTGCAAATCTGCAGTGGAGAAAGAGGGAACTCAGGACATGTGCTGAAGCTGTAAACCCATGGCATCACTCCTGTGATTTTCCAATACAAGCAGGTAATGTTTCTTGAAGACTTCTCTGCCTCTCAGTAAGATGCCCTTTCGTTATGGGTGCTCGTTCTGTGTGTACAAGTATGTTAACTACAAAGATTGCATGAAGAAGTTGTTAACAAATGGTGAATTTGAATGAAAGTGATAAAAAGCGTTTTAACCGGATGTGTAAAATATGCAATGCTATCAAAGATCAAGTATTTCTCTAATAAACCTTGAACTTTCAACTCACGCGTAGCAAACTCTGCCTCTGTTTGGACACGTATGTGTGAAACAAAAGACAGCGAAGTTCGAAGCAATTTACCTTTGCTTTCCTTCTTCAAAGGAGCTGGGAAATACTTGATATATCTCTAGACTATAAATCTAAGATTCCCTTAGTTTTTGAGAACATCCAATCTTTCTGGTCACTTCAGGTGTCCCCAAAGGGGGGACAATTTGTGGGGGAGAGGCAAGCACTTACCCAAAAGTTCAAAATGTTGTTCATCTCCTTCCGACTCTTTCTCCAACATCTTTTTTCCTGTGGAAAAAAGAAATTGTGAGGCGTTGTACCCTCCCACACATTGAAGACTGCTGCTTTATTATAAATCTGATTAGTTTCTAAAGCAGGCTTGTTAGCTAGATCTTGGCTCTGAAGAACTAGGCCTGATTCCATTTTAATTACACTAAGACTAGGCTCGGTCTGCGAGCATACAGCGGTTTGCCATTAGTTAGATTATTATTAGATAGCTTATGGCAGTCACTTTTTAATTTTTTCTGCTTGAATAACAGTCTGCTATTTAGAAAGGTGCAAATTCTGTGTTTGCCAGTGAGGTTTTCCAGCTGAAGGTTCTGCAGCCCTAAACACACACTTGTCCCTCATCCCCAGTTCGGTACCTCAGGGCCAGTTTCATGCCAAGAGCGGAGCCAAGAGCAAAATAGACCGTCTTGAATGCGAATGTGAAAACTGGCCATCTATGAAAAAGTATTCAGCTGGTTTTTATTTTTCTCTGGGTTGTTAAGGGGGATTTTCTCCAGTAGCAGTAGGGGCCAGCACGGGAAATCAGCCAAGTGAGCTGTTTCTTATTTAGCCATTCTTACATTTGTCATCCACATCAGTTAGGTTTTAAGAGCAATCTACTCCTTTTATGGCAGGGATCTGTGGCAACCTCCTTGCTGGAACGGTGGCTTTGGTTTATTCTAAGAGCAGTCAGCAAGGCTGAGCACCAAGCTGTTGCCACTGCTGCTGCCTGGCATGAATTAACAAAGCTCAACTACTGGCTCAACCAGTCTTTATCTGGCTGTCTTTTTTTAACCTGTGATGACTAAACTCATGGCAGACATATGCATGCGTTTTGGGGTATGTATGGAAGTGGAAGGGATGTTGTGAGGGGGGGCGACTGGCCATGCCTTCGTTTTATGCTACTCTCTCACAAGACATCTTTGTCTGTGTTTAGCTGTAGGACCCTCTGGTGCCTATTTGGGGTGTTACTGTGAAAGATACAGAAGTTTACTCTTCAAACAAGAAGTATCACTTGGGATTTTTTTATTGTATAGCTACTCAGGTCAGCATCGCGCTCTTTGTTACATCAGCAAGTTTAATTTTAAAATGAGCTGATTTCACTGTGTGTTAAGGTTGCAACAACAGCGTCTAGCCCTGTGCAAGCGGTGCTGGGATTGGTTGGAACTGGATGATCTTTGAGGTCCCTTCCAACTCTAACCACTCTATGATTCTACGATTCTATGTCCTGCAGCTGCCTTCTACCCTGCGTTAAAGGGATCCAGTCCACTGGGGCAACCTGTGTTAACACCCGGGAGCTGCCGTCCCGGCCTAACATCACCCTCCGAGAGCCGGGGCTCCAGCAGCGGGTGGGATGTGCCCCGGCTGCTGTTCCCTGGAGCAGCTAAAGAGTCAGATAAGAAGATCCCGCTGTCCATGTGCACACATGCTGCACAGGGGAGCTTTGCCCTGGCTCGTGGCTGCAGTGCCCTGTGCTCTGGTGAGTAAGCAGGAGGCAGAAATAGTAGAAAACAGTCCGGAGCCTTCACCCAAACGCAGACATTTCTCTTGCCCGTTACTTACCTTTGCTTGTTGTCAGAGGGTTGCGTTTCTTTCAGCTTTCAGGAAACACTGGCAAATCCAGTATTTCTCCAAAATAGGCATATGGAGGCATCCTTGGGTCTTCTCACCGTGCCACGTGGTCTCCCTCTTTTCAAGCTGTTTCTCCTTTCTCTCCTTCCCACAGGTGAGCAGCGTGCTACTACTACCGACACACACATTTGAGCAGACGGAAAAGCAGCAGGTGGACAGAAAGTGAATTGCAGCAAAGCACCGAGGGGAATAGCTCAACAGACACCATTGTCTGAAAAGTGGATTTACTGCCTATGACTTGTCTGCGGCGGAGGCTCGCAATCTGGAACAAGTTCAGGGTTAAAAGTTCAGAGCCGGGGCGTTGTAGTGTGAGCGGAGGGTGAGGACGAAGCAGAAAGCATGAAAGGCGATTGCCTTGCTTGTTCGTCTTCTGCACCTGCGATGCTCTTGCCAGGGATGGTGTAAACCCCAGAAGGGAGACAGAGACTCTACCTCTGTTGCATGATACATATAGCACAGCAGGTCGTGGGGCGGGGTTAGGAGATGTTCTTGGATTGAAGCTACTGCAATCCATTCTAGTCAGCACGCAGAGACAGTTTCTCCTGTGTTCCATGACTTGCTCCACTCCGTATCTGCTGCAGCTGAAGCAGAAATCTTTTCGCTGTGCAGATGCAGAGATGGTGCATTTTCCTGCCTGGGGTGGTAGGAATGATGGGTTGCAAAAATATTTCTTCCTGGAGTCAGCATCTTTGCTGACTGATATGATCTCTGTGGTGACTTTCACAATAGTTATCCCCCTGTCTTCCTACCCCAGGGTCACTTTCGGCCGATCCGTGCCAAACGTAGCTCTTACCTCTTCTCTGAGGGGAAGCTCAGATGCTTTCTGGTCAAGACCAGCATGCTAAATGGCAAACTAACCGAGTTCATCACTGGGTGCTGGAGAGAGATGGGACTTAAGTTTTTGGAAGTTAAACACCTAAAGTGGAACTTTCTGTCTGCCGCTGCAGTGGTTCTGCTTTAAATATTCATTACACGTAGCACTGCAATGGAAAATTTGGGTTATGCTTATGTTATCTTCCCTAGAGATCTGAACCTGGATTTTCTTGCATGCCAGCTAGCTGTTCTAACCCCTGTTGATGTGGATAATACTATCACTTGGATAATACCACCAGTATTATCCTCTCTGCTCCCTCCAACCCGAAATTATATATCCAGGGGAGCATCTCCTAGATTGGCCCTGTTTGCTAAACAGGCAAGAGAACAGCCTGCATCAAGGAGCTCACCACTGCTCAGACTGAGGGCTCTGCTTGTTGTCTGCTGGCAGAAACGCAGGCAAGCATGGGACATTTTTGTGTTAAGCAAAGCCTGAAGGAAGTTTTTGGTGATGCCAGAAGTACCTAAATATTCAGCGTAGATGCCTGTAGTGCAGTTAAAAATCTTTTGGTAGGTCAAGGCTCTAGGACCAGCCAGAGGCAGGGGTATGAACTATACTAGGATACAGGAAAACTACACACGTGTAGTTTTATGTATTTAAAGTATATAGTTTATGTATTTAAAGTAGCTGAGCGTGCCTGGCTTCAGCTGGCTTGTTTTTTTCCTTTCATCGAACTCGTGTCTTTGCGTCTGGGGAAAGGTGCCTTCCTGTGAGCACCTGGGTTACAAAGATTTTCTGTGGGGCGGGGGATACGGGAATTGCTTCAGGCATTGTCGTCATGTGAAGCATCAGAGAAAAGGTGAGGGTGACCCTGTGACTGACCTTCTCTGGCAAAGCTGTGGAAAGCTGTTAATAGCAGCCAAGTCTTGTGCTCTGCCTTGCCAGCTCCA